AAAAATAGATTAAAGCCCTTCCCACAGCTGAAAAAACACACATCAAACTACGACAGCAACACCGAACGACCGATCACACAACCGGACTGGATTTCGCCCCAAGTCTCAGATCCAGAAACTACTGCAAATGCCTAGCTAGACCCAACACCCAAGCCTCGACCACGCGCCCAATTAACCGACCCACCGCCAGTCGAAGGAAAGCGAAGCAATCCCCCATCGCAAAACCCAATGCCCGAGCCCAACCCACACCACGAGCCAGGCCACAGCGCGCCAGTCGTCCCCTCGACCCTCATATCAGGGGCAGCTGGACAAAGGGAACAGTCCACCATCCTCATCAAACCACCACCACACGGCCGTCGGAGCCACCACCCACCCCACAGAAGCACTTTCGCCCATCGCCGCCGCACCACCAGGTAGATCGACAACCTTCATCTCGAAGAGGCAACCAGAAGCGGCGAGCTCCTCTCAGGACCAACCACCTACCCATCGGCGCGAGAAAACGGCTGAGGCACGACATAGGGTTGAGCCGTGCAGCAAGGGGACGGCCGCTGTCTATAATTCCATCGGCCCGACTGGGGAAGGCGAGACGGAAGATTGAGATCGAAGAGGCAAGAAAAGGGCGATTTGGGGGAGAAGGGTTTTCTTATCGGGAGAGAGGCGGAGAGCACATTTACAACATTATGAGTTGAACTTTATAAACTTTATTAGATTTTGAGTTAGATAAATATAGATTAAAAAATCATCAATTAAGTTGAACAAAAAATTATTTTTGAAATTAACATTCTTTATTAAATAAATATGAATTTTTAGTCCTGACCATAAATATATAAAATTTGTAGATAGATAAATATGGATAAAATACATTTAACAATTAAGTTGGCATGACTTTTCATAAAGATTTCAAAAAATTTCAAATGTTTTATTCGTTAAATGATTGACCAGATTTTTGTAATCAAATTTACACGTTTGACCAAAAATATTTAAGAAAATGATTGATTGAATTTTTTGGAAGCAAAATTTTTGGCCAGATTTACCCATAACATTTAAGAAAAAACATTGCCGATATTTTTAGTAATTAAGGTTTACAATATTTTTCTCAAATAACAATTTTTTTAGTAAAATTTGAATTCAAATTTTCATTCATCCGTCATTTTCTTAACAAATACTAAGAATAGTAACTATGAAATTTTTAAACGGGAGTTTCAATATAATCTATACTTATATTAAAGAGGGTACTATTTACTAAATTAAGTAGCCAGAAAAGTCAACAGCATTTATTGCATTACTATTTCCGTATTATACTATATAAAAGGATATTCTATTTACTACATTTACTATCTAGAAAAGTCAACTGCATTAAATGTCATTACTATTTTGGTATTATAATATTTTATTTATTTAATTAATTTATTTATTTATTTTATTTTAAAAAGATAAGTATAATAAAAAGATTTTAATAATAAAAAAATCAAATACAAAATAAAAATGTACACTTTGACTTATTTGATTATATTTGGTATTTGATTATACCAAATATATTTCTATTTAGTATATACATTAAATACTTACTAAAGTATTTATTTGTTTTATTTGTCAAAGTTAAGTATAGATTTGTTTATATTATCAAATCATAAAAAAATATTAAATCCATATTGTAAAAAAAAATCATATAATTTTATAACAATTCTACTACACTATTTAACAATATTTCTTTTTTATTATATAATAAAATAATAATTAAATATTATATGGTGAACAACAATAAGTAAAACTGTTACTTTCTCTTATATCAAGGGATAAATTTATATGCTAAAATTAAATTTTTATTAGTATAAATGTTTTAGTGAGATAATATATTAATTATTTTACAAGCTAGCCCTAACATGCTCATATTTAATGTTTTAAAAGATGTAGAAAAAAAACTTATAATAACTCTATTGTTTTTTAGACTTAAACGTTGATTAAAAGAGGTAAAAATTCCTAATTTTTTAGACTTAAACGTTGATTAACACCATAGATTGAGAGTCTATATTTAGTAAAATTCCTAATTGTAATAAAAAAATTAATTTTTGTTATATTTTAGAATATCTTTAAATTCATTATAAAAAAAAAGAAAAAAAAAAACTACAATGAAAAAAGCAAGTCAGCTATATATCAATTTGTTGTACTCCTCAAATCACATTCACAATTTAGCTACAAGGAAAGAAAACTCATTGATTAAAATATTATTTTGTCAGTAGTCTTAATGTACAAGAGACTTTAAGACTCCACTTGAATATTATCAAACTTTTATTGAACATTGTACAATTTCTTGCGTATTATAAACTTTTATTAAATATTGCATCTTATAATATAATATTCTCCAAATAAATATATATCCCGTAAATTTTTCTTTATTCATGTATATAATTATAAGCCTGGATAAATAGCCTTAAAATTATGCACTCCGTACATCGCACGGGCTCTGTACTAGTTTCAAGTAAATTCATCTCTCTATTATATTATTTAATAGATAGAAATTTTCTGAATATTCACACATGTTTATGTTAGTAACAGTTCTCACACACGCAAGGTTTCACGTGTAAGTAATTTGATATGCACATAATTGCCTTCTCTCAATTTAATATCCTTATT